CTGTCATCTTTTAATAGCTCACCTCCCACAGTGATAGGCTGAACTGTTTAATAAAATAGCTGCCAGAGCTAAAATAAGAAAACAACATCTAAACAATATCTCAACACCGGCTCTCTTGTTTGATTTTTTTTACTGTGAAATAAAAAAAATGATTTCACTGTGAAATATCATCAGAATATGTGAACTTATCAGAATATAATTTTTTTTAAATTAACAATTTATAATTTTACTGTGAAATTATCAAAATGTTAAATTTTCTACTGAAAAGCATGTAATAAGATTAAATATTCAGTTTTAAAACCTTTTGTATTTTTTTTAGGTTATATGAGAAGAAAGAAAAAGCATATAACAGAGCAAAAGAACAGCTGACAATAATCGAGGTACAAGCAACAACTAAGGTTGAGAACAAGGAATTTGCCCTGGGAACCTCTAAACTCCACTACCTTGATCAAGGTACAAGCAACAACTAAGGTTGAGAACTAGGAATTTGCCCTCGGAACCTCTAAACTCCACTACCTTGATCGAGGTACAAGCAACAACTAAGGTTGAGAACTAGGAATTTGCCCTCGGAACCTCTAAACTCCACTACCTTGATCGAGGTACAAGCAACAACTAAGGTTGATAACTAGGAATTTGCCCTCGGAACCTCTAAACTCTACTACCTTGATCGAGGTACAAGCAACAACTAAGGTTGAGAACTAGGAATTTGCCCTCGGAACCTCTAAACTCTACTACCTTGATCGAGGTACAAGCAACAACTAAGGTTGAGAACTAGGAATTTGCCCTCGGAACCTCTAAACTCTACTACCTTGATCGAGGTACAAGCAACAACTAAGGTTGAGAACTAGGAATTTGCCCTCGGAACCTCTAAACTCTACTACCTTGATCGAGGTACAAGCAACAACTAAGGTTGAGAACAAGGAATTTGCCCTCGGAACCTCTAAACTCCACTACCTTGATCCTAGAATCTCCGTGGCATGGTATGTTGAAATTTTCCTTTTCTGTTGAAAGAATACTGAAAACTGGTTAAAATAATTTCACCATTTTCATGTTAAGTGTTGATATCAGGTTAAGCCAGTGCAAGACTGCTTGGTTTTTTTTTTATGGTAGATTGCAATAACCACTGCCATTCGTGTACAGGTTTGATAAAACCAGGCCTGCAACAATTTTGATTTTCCTGTTTTGGACATTCTTTAGAGACTATGTTTTTCTCTATTGTATAGAACCACACCTTGTAGAGATTTATTGAAATGGGTTTGTGTAGAATCATTAAAGGTCTTGAAATATATTTAATATTTGATTTTCTGTTTCTGTTATAGGTTGAACTATTTAGTATTACATATGAATTTTAGCTTAATATGTGCACTTAATTAAAAGAAGAAAATTTAATCATAGATTGAGAAATAAAAAAAAATGTATTGTTGTTGTATTATAGTACTATAGTATATTATTTTCATAATCAGGTGTAAAAAGTGGAAGGTACCAGTGGAGAAAGTGTAACAAGACCCAGAGGGACAGGTTCAGGTTGGCAATTGTCATGACTGATGCCAATTTCTGGTTTTGACAGTAGCAAATAAGGCCTGTTTTGTGTGGGGGTAACTGTCACTCTGGCTGTAACCACTTATGCCTCTCTACTGTGAGTTTGAATATAGCCAGAGAGTCTACTTGGTGTGGTGGTAAGAGTGGCTTTGACTTCAACCACATGCTGCTGTTTACTGTGTGTTTGAATTTAGCCAGAGGGTCTACTTGGTGTGGTGGTAACGGTGGCTTTGACTTCAACCACATGCTCCTGTTACTGTGAGTTTGAATCCAGCGAGTAAATTGAAATCTTTCATGTGTGGAAGCTACTACTAGTATGCTAGCTACAGAATGCTGATGGTTCTACTAGGGCACAGGCTTATGGCTGAATAATGTGCTATTAAAGTTGGAAAGTCATGATATGACCCTTACAGTATTTGGTCATAACCTTTATTGTACAACTCAAAGCCAAACATGCCATATAATTCAAATCTGTTGTATTTTGGATATTTTTTATAACCATGCAAAAATAATGAATCATGTATTTTTTGTGAAATTTTGTTTATCATTGGAAAATGAAAAACAGTGTGGGGCTTGATATGTTTAACAGACATGCAGATTCTGCGTATGTTTTATTTAAAAAATTTAATCCTAATTTAATTCTTTTTTTGATCTCTTTACAGTGTTTACACTTTTATATAAATGGTGAAATTGGTTATCCAAGTGCTACACTGGGATAAGTAATAGAAAGAGCATTAAAGCATGAGGCTATCTCATTTGTAGGAGGACGCGTTCCCTCCCCCTCCCATTTACAATAGAAAGATACAATACATAGTTACTTGTTGACCGGGGTTACACAACTTACACAAAATAATACAAGGTTCTAATTGTTAATACTCTTTGTGAGCCCTTGACCTAGCTATGAATAGAAAAGGTTGGGCAAAATTTTTCACTGCAATAAACTAGAATGGTACATTGTAGAAAGTACAAAATGGATGTTACATTTTTTAAGTGCATGAAATTTTCTTATCTAAGAAAGGTGTAACATTTGTGTTTAAAAAATAAATAAAAAAATACAGATTTGAAAGTGTCAGAAGTGTTTAGTATTGTCAGTTAAAATCTGTTTATTAATTGTTTGTTAAATTATTACAAAATTGTTTCATGTTTATGAATAAATAAAAGAATAAATAAATAAATAAACCAAAATTCTTTCATATTTATAAATGAATGAACTATTCTTTTTGAGAGGATAATGCACCCCGCTTCCCCCAAAAACAAACTACAAAGTCAAAAGTTAATAATATGAAAATATTTGAGTAGAGAGATTGTTATTATTTACCATCTTGAGGCTAAGGATTTTATCCATGAATCAGATCCATATGTGCAAAGTCAAGGAAACTGGAGATGATGAAAATTGAAGATTTTTTCTGGTGCTTATCATCTATGTGCATGGAAAAGTTCAGTATTACTCCATATACATGTAAATGTTCACCATCATGAGATGTAGTGTCACATCCTAGGTCAGAGGTCTTAGGTTAATATTACACCTAAAGGCCATAGAAAAAGATTGCCCACATCATATCTGTGCCATGACCTTGTACCTTTTGTGATTTTTGTGATAATGGCACCATTTTAGAAATAATAATTTTGTAGCTTCAAGGTAAAAAGAGGTTTCATTTGTGTGCAGCTGCCCCCTGCTTTTCAGCTCACCTGAGCATGCTCAGGGTGAGCTTTTAGGATCGATGATTGTCCGTCGTCCGTTCACATTTTGTTGTTAACACTCTAGCGGTCGCATTTTTGCCTCAATCATCATCAAACTTGGTCAGAATGCTTATCTAGTTGATAGCTCGGATGAGTTAAAACATGGGTTATCTCGGATGAAAAACTAGGTCACAAGAGCTAAAAATAGAAAAACCTTGTTAACACTCTAGAGGTCACATTTTTGCCTCAATCATCATCAAACTTGGTCAGGATGTTTGTCTAGGTGATAGCTCGGATGAGTTTGAACATGGGTCATCTCGGATGAAAAAGTAGGTCACCGGAGCTAAAAATAGAAAAACCTGGTTAACACTCTAGAGGTCACAATTTTGCCTCAACCATCATCAAACTTGGTCAGGATGTTTGTCTAGGTGATAGCTAGGATGAGTTCGAACATGGGTCATCTCAGATGAAAAAGTAGGTCACCGGAGCTAAAAATAGAAAAACCTTGCTAACACTATAGCGGTCACATTTTGGCATCAATCATCATCAAACTTTGTCAGGAAGCTTGTCTAGGTGATAGCTCGGATGAGTTCGAACATGGGTCATCTGGGATGAAAAAGTAGGTCATTGGAGCTAAAAATAGAAAAACCTGGTTAACACTCTAGCGGTCACATTTTTGCCTCAATCATCATCAAACTTGGTCAGGATGCTTGTCTAGGTGATAGCTCGGATGAGTTTGAACATGGGTCATCTCAGATGAAAAAGTAGGTCACCGAAGCTAAAAATAGAAAAACTTTGTTAACACTCCATGGTCAGAATGTTTGTCTAGTTGATAGCTCGGATGAGTTCAAATTGGTCATCTCGGATGAAAAACTAGGTCACAGGAGCTAAAAAAAGAAAAATCTTGTTTACACACTAGTGGCTACTGTTTTGATCCAAATATCCTGTAAATTGGTCTGAAAGTTTGTTTTGATGATTTCTAAGTCAAGTTTGAACATGGGTCATTTTGGATGAAAAACTAGGTTACACCACCCAAATATGGAAAAACCTTGTTAGCATTCTAGTGGTCACATTTTCGACTCAATTATCATCAAACTTGGTCAGGATGCTTGTCTAGGTAATTGCTGGGATGAGTTCGAAATCGCATGTGAAACTAGGTCACCGGAGCTAAAAATAGAAAAATCTTGTTAACACTCTAGTTGCTACTGTTTTGATCCAAGTATCCTGGAAATTGGTCTGAAAGTTTGTTTTGATGATTTCTAGGTCAAGTTTGAATATGGGTCACCTGGGCAAAAAACTAGGTCACACTGCTCAAATATGGATAATCCTTGTTAACACTGTAGTGGTCACATTTTTGACTCACCTGTCATGAGACTTGGTCAGATTGCTTGTCTAGGTAATTGTTTGGATGAGTTTGATTGGTCAGGTGAGCGATCTAGGGCCATCATGGCCCTCTTGTCTAAAGTGGTAGGAAACATTAGGTTGCAACAAATTTTCCCTTACAAATTTTGGTAGAAAACAAGGTTAGTCGGCGAAAAATTTCCCTTGCCAATATGGATAGAAAATAGGTTTTTGCTCCTTGTAAATTTTGAAAGAAAACCAGGGTTTTTGACAATTTTCATTACCAATCTTAATAGAAAACCTGTATTAATTTTGACAATTCCTCTGCTAGTTTTGAAAGAAAAACTGGGTTCTTTGACAATTTCCCATGTCAGTATCGCTGTACCCCCCAATCTGTGTTTTTGACTATTTCCCTTGCCAACATTGAAAACCCAGGGTTTTTGACAATTTCTCACAACTATAAATGTATGAACTAAATTTAGGTATTTTATATTTGCAGGAACAAGGTTTTGGCGGTGAGCCAGTGAGTTCACACCTAAAAGATTGGCTTATATCCCGGCAGAGATACTGGGGTACACTGATACCTGTTATACACTGTGATATTTGTAAGGTATGATTGTTGTATTTGATTGGAAAATGGAAATAATTATGTTGAGAACTTGATATAGTTTTAATAGTGTTTGAGGCTATTCTTAAATAAGTGTCAGTTTTCAGATTGTTAAATGTACCATTTTTTGTACCTTTTTACTCTAAAACTATATATTTATTTTTTTTAGACTTAGAACATATACCTTTCCTACATTCATGGAAACAACTATTCCTATATGGTTCTGACTTGCTATTGCCATATTTGGTTTTTGTTGTGTTATTTTTCCATTTTTTTTTTATTTGTTAACCTAATAGTGTTTGACTTATTAACAGAAATTTCATGCCTTTTCTGAACCAAACTTTTCTTCCTATGGTGTTCTTGTTTGTCTTGTGTTTTATATCAGTTCTGTTTTTCATTTTTCCAGACTGTGCCAGTACCTATGGAAGACTTACCTGTGGTCCTATCGGACACAACAAAACCTACTACCAGTAAAGGTGGCTCAGTCCTAGCACAAGATGAACAATGGCTTAATGTGAAATGCCCAAAGTAAGTATTCTTTTTGTGAAACGGAAACAAGTGATTCAGAAGTAGTTCTAACATAATAACAGTATGTTTGTTAAATGACAGTGATAGAGAAAAAGGTATGCTTAAACAAGCTGATATTCACAAAGTTTGACTTGATGAAAAAGATTTTTTTTCTCAGTTAACATTCTAAATGTTGGTTCCTGACTAGAAAGAGCAGACTCTTCACTTCATCTAATAAAATATGGAATTCTAGGGTTAAGAGCCTAAAGAATAGTTTCATATCTTTCCTTAAAATACAAGTCACTAATTTTGTTCCATGGGACTTGTGATACTCTGACATGAGGCCGGAAAAGCCAAGATTTAATCTTGTCCACATTGATGGGATTTAACAGTTGGTGAAGTAGTTGAAGTTGATGATCTCGTACCTGTCTCGGGTATCATCCAACAAGACTCTGGATTATTTCATGTGAATAAGGTAGCATCTTGATAGCTTATGAAAGGTTGTTGTTGTATTCATTCATGATTTGCCCAGTCTGATACAATAAAAAAAGGGCACAAGGGGTCTCTAACCAAACCAATTGAAAAATTCCAAAAAACCTAATTCCTTAAAAAAATGGTTATAAAAAAGAAATAGCTATAATAAGGTATATATTTCAGGTGTGGTGGCCCAGCAAAGCGTGAGACAGACACTATGGATACATTTGTGGATTCATCGTGGTACTTCCTGAGATATTTAGATCATGCGAACGGGGAAGTTCCAGTATCACGAGAAATAGCCGAGAAATACATGCCAGTGGATTTATATATAGGAGGGATTGAACATGGTACTGCAGCATGTTATTCGTATATTAAATTTATTATAAATTTACTTTTATTTAGTTTAGAAAAATTGTTTGCCTACTTAGCTCAATAGGGAGAGGGTCAGATTTCAAATTTACTTTGGTAAATCAGATTACTATTAACCAGTTTTACTGTTTAGTAAATAGACTGTTTATAAAATAATTTCAAGCATAGCTTAGTGTTCATTAGTAAGCATTTACCAAATTGAATTGGAAATTCTTAACCAATTTAATTTTGTAAATGCTTGCTAATAAACACTTACCTATACAAAAAAGGCCAATAATTGTCAACTCTAGCACCAAACATTTATATCATATGTAATGTCAATATCCGACAATTACTTGAAGTATTTGTTAAATATAACTAAAAATCAAGGCTTTGTTTTGTTTTGACAGATCGTGCAAACCAACAACCAGCTTTACTTTAATTTTACTTTCAGCATTACTCCATTTATACTATGCACGATTCATCAGTCACTTCCTGTGTGACGAGGGTATATCATGTCACAGGGAGCTGTTTGTCAACCTTCTGACACAGGGAATGGTGAAAGGTTTAAGCTACAAGGTCCAGAAGACAGGGATGTACCTTAAAGCTGGTGATGTGGAAAAAGTGGGTGAGTATGGCTATGAATTTATGGTAGTCTTACTGGAATGCTTTCCCGCAAAAAAATTCTAACATCAGCCAATATTGTAATAAATCGGTCTTTTCTGGAACATTATTTTTCACAATCTTCAGTATTCAATAATTGTAACCGCTTAATATAACCCGAATTTAGTACATAGCGATAAAGGATGAGTGATTGTAAATAATCTAATGCCCAAGATTCAAGATTTTGAAGAAATAACATTCTTGAAATAAACAAATTTACTACGATATTGCCGATGTTAGATTTCTTTTGGCGGGAAAGCATTACAGTAAGACTACCTTAAGCATATATGCATTAAAGTGTATGAAACTATATCTGATGAAATATTTTTATAAAATTTAAAAATAGTAAAATTATGCTGCTTTCATAATGTTATGGTTGATTCTTGGAAGAAATTTTAAAGTAGAATGTTTCTGTTATTTAACACACATGAATATTGCAAGTGAATTGAATAAAATGTTCAGGAACAACATAATATGCTGCAGTTTTTAAGTAATATTTTAACTATTTATAAATGATTTGAGCCGTGTTATGACAAAACCAACATAATGCGTTTGCGACCAGCATGGATCCAGACCAGCCTGCGCATCCACGCATATGTTTCTGTCTTCAGGTAACAACTATGTTCAGAATGACACAGGAGAGAAAGTGGAAGTGATATATGAAAAAATGTCCAAATCAAAACATAATGGAATAGATCCTGAGGTAATTATTCTTTGGGGGTCATATGTTACAGTTGAAAATCTTGTCAAGAAGCATAAAGCTTAGAGCTTTAATATTAAAAAAATTGATAAGTAGCTTGAGAATAGGGATAGTTTACAAATATCTTTAATGTATGGTGCTGGAGGGACTAATGGCCCCACATCTGGTGTAACAGCTTTTACAAGACTTAATATTGCAACACATTTTGAAAAATCAACTTGTTAGAAACTTGACAAAAGTATTACAAAAGCTAGATGCTTATTTGTTGGCTGGTAGCATTGTTTATAGGTTGTCTACCAAGTTTGTTCACATTATGCCCCTAGGGTAAAAAAAATTTATAAACAAAACAAGAATATGTTCTGTATTATGGATAGGAAATAATTAATTATGAGCATATAGATCAATTATGTAAGCTTTTAAGCAACCTTGATTAATTGTATTGGAAAAGAAGTGTATAAATATAGTTAATCTTCTTTTTCCTCATTATAATTGTTTAGGTTAGGTTAGATCTGCAAGGAAAGCAGGTATTCTAATGGAGTGAGACTTAAAAAATGATTGGAGCACTGCACTAAATACGGTATTCCGGTGTGGCGTGAATTATGTCAGACCCGTGAGAAACGTAAGACTTTACGTTCTGCGCATGCGCAGGTAGTTGTCGGACGGGGCCGTGAGAAATGTAAGACTTTCTGGTACAATTGTGTGTTAACCTCGTTTAGAAGCTCATTAGTTAATCTAAGTGCAGTTCTTCCTTTTATTCATGAGCATAGAGATATTTTCTACGATACCAACTTTTATTTTTCTGTGACAACGTATCGTGTGGATTAAATATTGTCCAAATCAGTGGCAGTCTTTCGACATCGTTCGTTCCCGATGTCGAGTTGATGGAAAATCCTGGAAAATCGAAGAGCTTTGATCAAGGTAAGCTTGTTTTGATATTTTATATTAGAATGTGGTTATTTCAAGCATCGATGAAAGTATGTTAGTTTTTATTAATGCTTACAGGTACTGTAGGCCATGTCAGTCTGTTTTATGAAATGGGCGGTATGTAGCTCAACCTTTCGTTTCTTAATTTTGTTTTAGCCGACCAGCCAGCCGACATTTGTAGATCTAGGGGTATGGCACACTTAAGTTTACTGATATATTGTCTAATTATATGTATTTGATTTGAATAAGTGTCGGCTCGGCCCTAACATACTCGGCCTCGAGTCAGCTCGGCCCTATTCCAACTCGGCACAGATCAACTCCATAGTCAACTCGGCCCACTTAAAAATTTATTAATCTGATTATCAGTGTTAATATATTGGTTTGTTTTATCACTCTCTGTTGTTGGAACCATATTTTTGATATATAGAAAATACATGGTTGATGTCGGGATGGAGTAGGTTTATCCGGTGAGCGAGAAAGTGTATCTTGGCGAGCTTTAGCGAACCAAGATTCACTTTTGCAGCGAACCGGTTAAACCTTCTCCATCCCGACATCAACCATGTATTTGATTTATCCTGCTTTAATCATGTTTTTATAATAATTAGATGGTTTCATTCTTCTTTCTCCCCGATAAAATAGCATCTATATGTAGTTTTGTTTTGCTGCTAAACACGTGACGTAATCATATGACGTAATGACTGGAGATAGATAAGTTTATCCGGCAAAGCTTTATCCAGCTGATGATATAGACAGTAGCAGGATAAATGGACTTATTCACAAACGTTGAAAGACGTTTTCTTAAATTATTATTACATTTTTGGTAATAGAGTTTTCAATGATTTGGGATATATGAATTCATTACACTCCATCCTTGTGACATTGCAAAATACATTGCCTGTTGATAAATGCATTACATGTTGTTTTATGTATACAAGATAAATAAAAAACATTTAAAAATATTTTATATAATAAGTAAACAAGTTTATATTTCTTTTTTTATTGAAGATCACTTTACAAACAAAAAGCATCATTTTGAAGGGAACACATTTGTATTATATTAATTTTTATCATGCAACTGCGATGATAACTGCTCGATAACACTTGACTGATAATTATTTTTGATATCAGGTTAGTAACCTGATATCAAAAATAAGCTCCCCCCATTTTAACAGACTTGTTTCAATAGCTTATTAGCCTTTAATCCAACAATTTTATCTAATATCCTGACAAGTCTATTTGTTATTTTATTCATTTTCAATTACGAACAGATTAGATAGCGAAAAGTTAAGTTTTAAGCACCAACTTAATGAAGTGACGTCAAAATTTATAAATAATTTCCAAAATGACATCATCGATATTCACTTCATATTATTTCGATAAACATAACAAACAGGCCAGGCGATTTTCTTGGAGAACTTGTAAATATTTACTATCTGCCAGATTGTTATATTGAATTTATAAGTGATCAGCAAATTGTTTCATGCATGTTTATTTTTGATTGCCGGTTTGACTTTGAAACTGAAATTATGCCTGATACTGAATGTTTGACTTTGACATGTCAAGGAAAAAGTTTGAAACAGCTTGCAGTTATCAGAAAAAGTTATGTTTTTTTTCAAAAGTGGGCCGAGTTGGCCTGTGCCCATTTGACCCGAGCCAAGTTGGTAGAGGGTCGAAATCCCCCCCCCCCTTTATATTTATTAGTAAGTTATTATCAAACACACATTTTGTAAACCACTATCCCTAGTATGGTTCAGGTAGTAAGATAATGCAGCAGTCTAATATTTATTAAATTAAAGCAACAAAGTTTGAATCAGGTTTCGCTTAAATATTTAATTTTTTTCATTAATCAACACTTATTTCTGTAGCACCAAGGCTAAGGGACTTTGATTATATTGAAGTGTATCCCTGAAAAAAGAATTAAATTCAAGTTATGTTTACAGTTAAAACATGTATAGAGTAACTTATACTAGGCTTTAGGGGAGCTAATTCTAGAAATATTGATGCTAGAGTCCAATTGAATTTTTCTTTGAAATAATGCAGTTTTCCTTATGTACACCAGCTGATTTTCTACCCAAAGTGGAAATTTTAGCAATAATTTTTACCTAAATCTAAGGTCCCTTTCTATTAAGTGAGAAAAATAACTGGAGTCCCATATTATGTGAGTGATGATAAGGAACATATATAATATTTGAAGTTAAAAGTTAAAAAAATGAAATATCAAATTATATTGCTGCACTAAAACTGAATAGTACAGATGCCAATGCATGAGTGAGTAGCACTGCTCTACATATACTCAAGCTAAAAATAAATTTTGAATTCACCAGCATGCAGCCCTTGTTATGTCGGTTAAGTCGAGCCAGATAAATATTAGGCCCACTATTTTTTAATAAAAGTATACTTTTGGCTCTTAAAGCGGCATGCCTCCAGATGAGCCAAAATATTCAAGAAAATAAAACTTGATAAAAATGTAGAAAAGAAAAAATGTTTTAAATTCAGGTACATATACAAATGATAATTTTCATGTTATGATTAAGGACTGGATTTTGCAGTAATTTAATAAAGTCAGTGTTTACCACCATATCTCTTACTGTCTTACTAACACATTGCAAGGTCCTAGGGCTATTTTTGCTTATATTGATCTCCTTTTTGGAAAATTTATGTGGATTGCAAGCAAATTTTGTAAAAAAAAAAAATTGTTCACTTCACAACATTTCACATTTAAAATTTTAAATACTTTTTTAGAGCTTTCATTAAAAATAGGATGAATTTGCAAGCTGTTTTAACTTGTTTTGCTTTTGATAAACCTATCCAACACTATTTATTTTCAACTTTCAACCACAAGTATATACAGGACTTAAAAAATACATGTGTTTGCAAGCATTAAAGATAGTTTATCAAGTGGTCATATATAAGAGGTTTTGGTATTTCTTTTTCATACATGTGTAATTTTAATGCAAAACAGGGGCTCTGACTGCAGCCAAGTGGTTTAGCTTGCTGACCCCTCACAGTCATATGAGGGATATTTGAGGAAGCTATACAGCTTACATGGGACCGGTTAACCATGTAGAATGTGTACATTGTACATGAAAGAGCTGATCCTGGTTTTTCATTTGCATATATGAATTATGCAAGGAAACAAAAATGTCATTAATTATTTCTTAATATTGCTTGAATATTGGATTCCTTGATCTTTTTTTTGGATCTTCTGTATGTTCATTCAGCTAATATAAATTGTGCACACAAATAACAATGCTTGATCTGCTTTAAAGATCAGCTTATTAATTTGGTATAAATCCACATATTGAATATTCTCAAGAATAGTACAATATTATATGTTACTTTAGATTTTGTGAAACCTGACCTAACCAGTTAGCAATTATAAGCTTAACAAGCTAAAAAGGATAGAATTTGTTAGCCTTAATTTGAATTTGATTCCCTAAAAGAAAGGTGCATAGCCCTCACAGTATAGTGAACACTGTAAATATTTTCACATGTGAAGTTTGATAGTGCATTAATTATAACAGATAATAATTATGATTTTTAAATATTAGGACATAACAAAGGATCAATCCTTATTAAACAAATGACATGTGATTTTGATACATGGTGAGAACTTTTCGGAAAAAGTGGCCGAATAGCTGAGGTACAATATTTCTAAGGGTCCTGGGTTTGAGTCCCATCATTTTGCATTACCTGTGACATAATTATGGTTCCCTTTCAGGCGACATGATATCATGGTTTATAGCTCAGAGTCAATTTATATCCTGTTCTGTTGAACAAATTTCAATACCGTATAGTTTGGCTGAATGTCACATTCACTCAGTTAGTACAGACAGCTGTGAGATAAATGTGTAAGGGGTTAGATAGCTGAGTCGGTATAGCTGTGGTAGTTGTTAACCTGTGCAAATAATCATGAAGCCAAATTGTTATAGATTTCTTTAGCCAAATTAATAAAGTTTAAGCAAATGGTACGATGTAGGCAAAGAGTAAGGTCTGTGTCTATATGAGGCTCATGTAAGGCATAATAAAGTTCTGTTAGATCTCAATTAATTCCAAGCAAGAATCTACAAGTAAGCAGA